CCGAACGTCCAATACGACCTGCGACCGTTTTAGATGATGGAGTGTTAAGACGATAAACAGATACACACACACACTACACACATGCGACACAACACACAACACACACACACCAACAACACACATCACACACACAACCAGCTTATCAGGAAAGAATAAAATAAGTGAAGGTGCACACACAGCACACAGCACACACAGCACAGCGCGTCGATAAACACGACCCGCGATCATATGTAAAGCACTTACGGGCCTGATCTGCGCGCTGAATCAATTCTTCATGACTTAGATAGATATACACACACGCTTGGCCTCAGCGCTCAGCAGAAAATGCAGTTGCCATAAGAGCACCACGTTCAAGGGCTAACGATAGAAACTGTGAAAACGCAAACTATGAACGCGCTGCTTAGAAGGTTTTGCACACAAGACGCACACGTAGAGGAGCAAGAGAAGATTGAGAAGAGAGAGAGAGAGAGAGAGAGAGAGAGAGAGAGAGAAAGAGAGAGAGAGAGAGAATGGAGAGTAAGAGGCGTGTCGGCTACAGGTGGTGCTGCTGTCGCTTTTCATGTTCGTCTGCATGGTCAACCAGACGGCCGTCGGTGACCTCAACCGCTCTGACGTCACGCCGCCGACGGTGGCCGAGTGAGGACACAACGTCACGCACGGACAAGATGTAAATATGGCGGCGTGTCAGCGCGACGCGTTCAGAATGAGAAGTCGTGTAATAATTATGCATGTATTGTTAGGTTTTGGTTACATAAAGTCCTCTATGAATGCGTTGTGACGCACCCTATATTTGCTATCTATACGTGTCTCTCTCTGTCTCACTCTCTCGTTCTCTCTCTCTCTTTCTCCCACTTTCTCCCTCTCTCTCTCTCTTTCTCCCCCCCCCCTCTCTCTCTGTCTCTCTCTCCTCTCTTAATAAACTGTCGCGTATCGGTGGGTGTTTTTTAGGACGACGGGATGCAGGACGGCGAGCACCTCTGGGACAAGCGCACGCAGTGACTCATCCTGTCCTCGTTCTTCTGGGGCTACCTCTGCACACAGATCCCGGGCGGCCTGCTCGCGAAGAAGTACGGGCCGCGATGGACGTACGCGGGGTTTCAGTTCACTGCCTCCGTGTTGACGATGCTGTGTCCGTGGGCGACGAGGGTCGGCTGGCGGGGACTGCTCGCCATGAGATTTCTCTCATGTTCAAATTCAAATTCAAATTGATAATAATTCAGATGATTCAGATAGTTATTCAGAAATTCATTGAATTTCATTAATTGTCTTTGAGTGATAATGCGCTGAGATGACCGCACTCGCAAACACTATACAGTATTGTATATGACTATCTGTAAGGTAGGGCATTACGTCCCAAGCGATACCAACACCGACCAACACAGTAGATTGGTAAATATGATACTATATGACTGCCTGGAATCGCTAAGTTGGCAAGGCAAGACACATTCGCAGTACCTATCTAATCGCTTTTCTTCGACGGTGTAGATCGTCTATACTCCAGTCAAGATGCTTCTGCTCACGTAGACGTGGTAGACTAGGACATTAGCTGTTAGTTTTACCCGTGTGTACAAAGTATTTATCATACAGGTCTAGTATTATAGGTTTATACTCTCTCTCGCTCTCTTATGGTTCGTTTCCCATGTTGCATATATGAACTTGCTTCGCACAGTAACAGCTTTCTTTATTCTTATCATTTGTTGCTCTCTCACACACACGCACGCACGCACACAAATACACCACCCCACAAACATATACACTATACTTCTCTTGGTAATTGTTTATTATTGACGGTAGACATTGATATTATGAATCATAATGCGTTTTATTAGATCAGTGTTCAAACGTACAGTTACTTACAAAAGGTTACAAAGTTTTCATGGCCACATGTTAGGTTGATTCAAAACACCAAAAAAATCACAAACATAACACAGTCCGGTTGTATACCTTAAAGGATTGAAGTCTTTTTCAATTAATTCCTAGTCCAGCTTCCACTTTGGAAAGAAACTGTAACAGTTGAGTTGCATTAGTTGGTATTCTACACTGCTCCAGTTCACATTTGTGCAGTGTGCTCGCTTGTTCACAGAGCCAAGCTGATCTTACATGTGAGACTGGCAGTTCGAGATGTACTTTCTGCTTACATCTGTACGACATCTCCATAGAGTTATTATGCATTGCCATGTGTGTTTTCAGAGCTAACTCGTTACTTCAAATGTTACATTTAAATGATGTTTTCTTTCGTCATTTTCTTCTTCGTTTTCTCTACTGTGTGAGTTCTCATGTGTGTCTTCAGATTACCTGATTGTGCAAAGGTAGCATCACACAGATCGCACTTATATGGTTTCTCTCCCGTGTGAGTTCTCATATGCATCGTCACAGCACCCGAACGAGAGAAGGTAGCATCACACAGATCGCACTTATATGGTTTCTCTCCCGTGTGAGTTTTCATGTGTGTCTTCCGATTACTTGATTGTGCGAAGGTAGCATCACACAGATCACACTTATACGGTTGCTCTCCCGTGTGGGTTCTCATGTGTATCTTCAGATTACTTAAGTGTGCGAAGGTAGCATCACACAGATCGCACTTATGTGGTTTCTCTCCCGTGTGAGTTCTAATGTGTATCTTCACATCACACGAATTTGCAAAGGTAGCATCACACAGATCGCACTTATATGGTTTCTCTCCTGTGTGAGTTCGCATGTGTTTCTTCACATAACCCGATTCAGAGAATGCGGAATCACACAGATCGCACTTATATGGTTTCTCGTCTGTGTGGGTTCTCATGTGTGTCTTGAGACTACACAATTGTGCAAAGGTAGCATCACACAGATCGCACTTAT